TGGGGCATGCTGCAATTTTAAGCTACTCTGCCCCACTGTAGCCCCGCTGCAGCCCCCACGCCTCAATTCTTGTATCTTCAATTTCCGGCGGCCCCAAGCGGCACGCCAGCCGCGCCGCGGAGTCTGCGTGCGAAACCTTTCAATCAACAGCCACAGGCGCGCATGCGGATGTGCTGCGCCTGTCAGCTGGGCCTGACCTTGCGAAACTGATGCCCGCTCCGCGCCCGCTCCAAGCCCGACTCCGTCAGGCGTCGCGACCGAGGTGGTTTGCGCACATGCGGACTAGCCGAACTGCCGCAGACAGACAGGTTCTCCTATTTTCTGGCATCTTGTTAGCTTTTTGACGCGCGTGGTGTCTATCAGTCTATCTGTCTACCTATGTATCAGTTCATCAATTTATGTAGTTGTCCATCTATCTACCTCTATCTATCTGATCTGTCTCTTTCTCCTCTCGCGCTCTCTCTCTTTGTCTTTCTCTCTTTTGTTCTCTCTCTCTCTCTCTCTCTCTCTGTAGCGCTCTCTCTCTCTCTCTCTCTCTCTCGCTCTCTCTCTCTCTCTCACTCTCTCTCTCTCTCTCTCTTTCTCTCTGTGTCGCTCTTTCTCTCTCTCTCTCTCTCTCTCGCTGGTCTCTCCATCTATCTACCTGATCTATATGTTTTCTATTGTCAATCTCTCCATCATCTATATCTGTCTATCTATCTGTCTATCTGTGTGTAGGTGTATCTATGCATCTATGCATGTATATTGTATCTACATATGTATGCATCCATGCATCTATCTTGTATCTATGTATCTATCTATCTGTCTGTCTACCTGTCTGTCTATCTGTGTCTATATCTATATCTATCAATGTCTATCTAGCTATCTATTTATTTATCTGTCTATCTATCTATCTATCTATCTATCTATCTACCAATCTATCCGTCTGTCTGTCTGTCTATCAATCTGGTCAGAGAGAGAGAGAGAGAGAGAGAGAGAGCGAGAGCGAGAGCGAGAGCGAGAGAGCTAGCTCTAGTTCCAGTACTACGGAAGTTCTTGTTAAACTTGCGTTGACAATGGTTGGTTGTAATCCCCGTTAGATTTGATGGCCAGCCTCACCAACCTCACACGGGTCCGTCCAAGGACAGTTGCCGCTGGCTGCATGCGGAACTTGGTGAGGTGCAGGTCTCCAAATACTTTTGGGGATGGTTTCCCCTTAAACCGCCATTTAGAGGAGAAGTGAGGGGCCAAACCGAACCCGCCCCCGGTGGACATTGAGGGCGTCACCTGCACGAACCCCAGCTGGAAGCTTCACGCGTGTCAGTCCTGGAACCGGCACTGGCCCTCCACAGACAGGGAGATCACGGTGGTCTCCAACTCACCCAGCCTAATCCAGTTTCAGTGAAGGAAAATCCCATGGAAGTATAGCCAACACCCTGGTATGCGGCTAGATAAGAACCGGTATGTGCTGCAGTTCCTAGAGATGTGCTGCATTTCCTGGAAAGACTGGGCCTGTCCCGAGTAGTCTTCGCCAGTCCAGGAATGCTGATGGCCTATTTCTGGCCATGATCTGAGCCAAGGATATTATCCTTTCTCCAAGACATGACAAAGCCACGCGAATTTGCGTGAAGTTGCGGGGCTGACTCCTGATGTTCCCAAGCCAACAAAAGAGGACGAGTCTGGTCAGTTGCTCATCTGTGGTTGGTGGGATTTCATGGCAAGGAGCCTTTTCTGGCCTAAACTTTCTCGCCAGAGGCTAATATGGTAAAGCAACCTGGCAAAAAGGAAACGCCGATTGGAACTGAATCCGATCCGCACTTGTAACAAACAAGCCATTATATGGCACAAGAACAAATAACGTATTTTGGGCCCTGGTAAGTGTTTGGCCTGTAAGGTTGATATGCAAGTGGGACAAAAATTAAGGGTCCATTCCCAATAGATTGGCCATGGGTCAAAAGCCCATACCCCCAGTGAACATCCCAATCCAACCACTTAAATAGGTTCTAAAATTTGGGTGGTGAATTCACCCAATCCAACCAAAATGGGATCAACCAAAACGGCTTTGACCACCGCCGTTTGCCTACGCTGTAAGGGTCCCAGGAGCTTGGTGGTGTTCTGTTGGTGCGCCGCCACCCGGCACCAGGTGCCGGTCCTGAGAGAGGGAGGTGACAGCGGGCTGTTTGAGGGCTCCCTGGGTTTCTAGGTCCTCCAGTTTTGGAGCTTAGAATAAGTTGGTACCAACTTTTTCTGTAGTCTATTTGAGTCGGGGAACCCTCCCAACCAAAAAAGAAAGGGGTGAGAAAGGGCACTACTGGGGGGCCTAGGTTTGACACAGCCAACCCACCAACCCACCCAATTTTACAGAGACACGCAGCATCACCCAAAGGGAAGTAATTACTTCAGAAACCCGATGTCTGAAAAATCTGTCCGTTGACTAGGTTGCCACATAGAGTTGTTTTGAGCCTGTGCCCATCCTGGACCCAATCGATTTGCGCAAGGGGAGACGGAAACCAGCAGGAATCGAGAAACCAATGTTGTACTGTTCTACTCAACCGCACATCTGTTCAGCATCTGTGAGGAATGGCTCGGGGCAACTGTTCCTCTCTTGAGATTTGATCATCTTTTTGGAACTTGCTCGAGACCAAGGCTCTTGAAGAACTCGGAGTTCTCATTCCTTAGTGCTTCATTGATCCCCCTTGCGGTGGGATGACATAAATCCCTCTAAACGTTCTCAAGGCAACAAGAATAAAGCCCAATGTGTTTCAATCATATTAGAGCATCTGGATATTGAAAACCGCAGCCAGCTTAAAGGCACATATGACATGTCGACAACAATCAAATATATATATATATATATATACATATATATGTACATATACACATATAAATACTTAGTTGCAATATTATACATATGTATATATATATATATAGCAACAGGCACACGTGATATATTATGGTGTAGCTGCGAAACGAGCTGCATAGTCAGCACTCCGATCTGGTTCCGGTGCTGCCTGTCGCAGAAGTCGCAAAGCTCCGAGAAGGTCTCGGGCGTCACGGTGATGCTGGAGCGGAGGGCCGGGAAAATCACCTGCGGCGACCGTCGTCGACCCAAAACCCGGTATGAAAATGGTCTACCCAGAACCATGCTTCAAGAATTCAGAAGGCGGCCGCAACTATTTCTGGCTAGGACTGCCCCTTACTAACCTTCATCTACCCGGGTTTTGATTGTGGCTTACCTGCGGCGACCATCGTCGATCCATAGGAAAATCTGTGCCAGCTTCTTTCCAGGGCGCTCGATTCATTTTTGGGCGCTATGATCCATGTTGAAAATAAGGTCCATGTTGAGAAACACGTCAAGTGCGCTTCATTGAAGGGCACCAGAAATATGCTGGCGTGTCCCTGCCTGTGCGACCTGTGTGGATCCGTCCCCTAAGTGAAACCAAAAAACAAAACGATGGCTTGGTTAGCGTTCATGATTTGACTCAACCTCAGGTGAATTCCAGCCAGGCGTGTCCTTATTCTTGCTGGTGCTCAGTAGGCAGGGAAGGAGAAATGGAATGACCCATAGAAACCATCCAACTGGTGGTTCTTTTAAGGGGACACTTGTCTTCATTTCGACATTCCCTACAGAGCACCAGCAAGTAGCCGAGGGTAACAAGACCAAAAGGTTGCTTTTGCCAACCCAACAAAAGGATCAAACAAACATTGAGACTCTGTGGCTCAGTTGCCCAAAATTTTGGATACGTCTTTATTTGAGGGTAAGCTTCTGGTGTTTTCGGGGGCAAACAAAAACAACAACAAAGCGAACCCACCCAACTTCAGGGTTAGTGAGTTGATCTGTAGATTCATTTGCGCATGTCGGACCTGGGTGTCCTCTGTTCACGGAGATCAACCTGAACCAAATGGAGTGGCACGCAAAGAATGAACATGTCTGGGAGTGACTCAAAATATGGACACCTCCCAAATCAATTTTGTGCCCGGTGCACCTTTCGAATGGACATTGGTTATCAGAGGCAAAAGCAACCACCTTGGGAGAGTCCCATGTGAAACACCCACATGGTACCCTTCTGGCTTCAAATGAACTACCGGGATCAAACAAACATTGGGACACCATCTGTGGCTGGCTCAATGGCTATGGCCCCCTTCGCAAAACAGCTGGTGAGTCACTTTCAACTGTTCAATCAACCAAGTTGCAGTTTTAAGGTTCGGCCCAGCGACCAAGTATAGACTTGATCTATAGGGCAGGGGATGGCAGTTGTCAAACAGAGAGGTAAGCAGGATCATAGCACAGAGACCCTTAGATTTGCCCAAATGATCGATGGCTCTGAACCTCACCACCTCAATTCCCAAGTTTGTTTGCTTTCTGTGAACACGCTCTTCCCAAGATGCATCAAGCCTGCATTCTGGCTGAACTTTCGCCAGCCTGATGCCGCATGCAAGTATGGGCTAGTCAGCATACCCAGCCCAATGACCCTGGTAAAACAAGGGAAGCCTGTTTGGTTGCCCATTTTTTGAGTTGAAAACCCACCAAAGAGCCCCAAACGGTGCCACTAAACCACTAAACCATGCGACTTCGGCCAATTCGAATCTGCCTGCTGCTTCAAAGCCAGGATGAACGTGTCCTTCCGCTCCATTGCGCCGAAAATCTTCCGAGAACTTTCGCAGGCTGTGTGCTTGGGGCTTGGCGGTTACGGCCATGGCCCGAAAAGTGGCGTCGCTTTGCGTCTGGATTTGAGCAAACTGCCAGAGGTGTTCGGCCCATAGGAGTTGCGTCTGCGTGCTTGGCTCGGTCTGGTGCCTCATGTGCGTGAATTCGAGCAAGCTAAGCTGCACAGAGCAAGGAGCTGAGCAAGTCAAGCTGCAAGCCTGCAAGGCTTTCAGCACGCCGCAGCAACGCTAATTCTGCACGAGCCTGGTTTCCCATGACACACTAAGTCAAAAACGATCTCACTCCCCAAATATCCTTCTAGCTCCCTTCCCCGCAAAAGCTTGGGCACATGTCGCATCTGCAGTCGAGCCGCAGGTAATGCTGTGGACTTGTCCACAATTGATCAGTCCTGCAGTAAATCGATCTGGGCGCTCAATCCTCGCAATTTGACAACCAAGCTGAAACAAAAGCCTGCGACGCGTGGCAGCTTAAGGCCTCGAGAGAGGACCACGGCGCCCAACCCAGTCCCAGCTCCTTCGATCCAGTAGCGCGTGCAATCTCGACAGCAGCCGTGCTCGGGATTCCCGCAGTCCTCTCGGCGAACGCGGGATGGCGCAAGTGGCAAGGCAGATGGTGACATTCACTGGGGTTTATGAGGTGCACATGAGGTTGACCACTCATGGGCATTCAGAATTGCCAATAGATTGGGATCAATACATCTACATATTAGTTCGATTCAACCAGCTGCCACACTATCAACCAATGTTAGTATTGCGGGGAGCTTAATACGTGACTAGGCAGTCTGGAAAACCATACAACAAAACACATATCCTTTTGGCTTCCTTTCAAGGAAGTGCACACTAGATGTTGTTTAATATCCCGCTTGTGCGATCACTTGGCCTCATGCCTCTCCACACATTTCAGGCGGCCTCTCAGGATGTCGCTCAGCTCCCTGCCTGGAAAACGACCTGGTCCGACAAGGGCAGATTCTCCAAGCCTGGGACAGGACACCAAACTGGCAAACAGGACACAGGTCGACGTTCACGTGTTAGATGTTCTGGAAAGATGACACACACCACAAAGCAAACTGGAAAGATGACACACTCAGAACATTCTCGCGATTTTTCTCATGGTTCTTCGTCAGTATCACCCGTGTCGCCGGTGCTGCCGAGTGGCAAATCTTGCATTGAAACGTGGGAACCTGAGCGATGTCTCAACTCGCCATGTCCCTCTGATTCCCGGGACACCTACCGGGCAAACGGCTCAAAAGGCTGCCAAGCCTCGCAACTTTTTGTGAGCTTCAGAAGCGGAGAGTGGCAATGACATCCGGAAATGCCAGGGGACCAGATCACCAGGGTCTCCAAAGAGTCAGGGCCACCCTTTGCTTGAACACTCTGCGCAAAAAGAGTTGGGATTCCTTCTATTCTCACAACACTCTATTGCTTTCACCAGCAAAGCATGAATCTTTTGGATCATACACAAGCTGTTGCTGCTTTTGCCCCCCCTAACAAAAAACGCCGTGCACTTAGTTGCACTGAGCGAGTCGCAAAGATAAAGACATTTCGTGAGGCGCATCAGCTTCAAACAAGTGGCCATGGGTCAAAAGCTCGTACCCCCAGTGAACATCCCAATGACCACTAAAATAGGTTCTAACATGGGTGGTGCACCAATCCCCCAAAATAGGATCCCATCGGTTTCCACACCCACAGCCGTAAATTTCTTGGGCGGGGGTTCCAAAAAGGTGCATGGCCATGACCATCGGTTTTGACAACCACGGCCAAATCGCTTTTGACCGAGCTGCCGGGGTGTTCATGACCTCCATGGCAGTACGGTGCACCGCCTCCCATCCCTGAGCGCACTTCAGGACGGAGGGCACGCTCCGGAGTGAGTGAGTGAGTGGGTGGGTGGGTGGGTGGGTGGGTGGGTGGGTGGGTGGGTGAGTCACAGTCTTACTCGCCCAGCTCAACTTGCTGTGACTTGGTCTGGCCTCATTCTATCCAATGCCTGGCATCATTCACAGGTTCCACTTGGAGAGTCCGGAACCCCCACCCCAAGAGCTGTGTGCGAAAGGATGCAGTGGCATTCTTGCACGAAAGCTTCCAGGCACAGGCACCTCCGATCACGTTCCATGCAAGTGGGTTGGGGGGGGGCAAAACATCCACTAGGTCCTCCGGTAGAGAGGTTAGAATAAGTTGGTACCCGATGTTTTTCTCTGTAGTCTATTTTAGTAGGGGAACCCTCCCAACCAAATAAAGAAACGGTAAAAGGGCGCTACTGGGGGACCTAGTCCAAAAAGCGCCTCCCGAATTGGAGGAACCGTCTCGGATTTTCGGAGCCCCAAGACCTGCCTGGCGAGCCAGCTCCGAGGAGATGCGCCTGAGATAAAGCCGCTTGTCTCAGCAGCAAGGGCTCGGGACGAACCCTCCTAGCAGGGATCTGGAAAATGAAGACAAATCAACAATCCCCTGCTGGCTTTTCTATGTGGGTAGAGAAATTGTCACGGCACCCTGCCACTCTTTGCGTCCAAATTTCATACGTCAACTAGCCCAGTCGACTGTCGCCTTGCTTTGACAGCCTGGTCCGCGCTCAATCCCAGCCTGCTTTCCTTTCTGCCGGGGTGTGAAATTGAAGGTCTGGAACATCCAGTGCCTTGCTTCCTGGAGGGAATGCTCCTCCCAGTCGTGGAAAACGACTTGAAGGTGCCAAGCCAACCCGATGTTCGCAATGCTTCTTTGCAGCTCCAAAATGATCAGAACCTAAACACAAACACGCACCACCAACCGCAAACAATCAAACAATGTTGACCCCGGATTAATAAACCCCTGCTTATTAATATGGGGGTGTCCCTGGTTTTAGTGGGGACCTATCACGTTTCAGCTCACCCCCCATCTTTCTCGCCGCCCGAAGGCCCTGCTGACCGAAGGCCCTGCCTTTCGAGGACATGGGTGGCTGGATAGCTGGGGTTCCTGGCATCGGAGAATCGGTCTGGACAGATCTGGGTCTCTTTTTTCTGGGCTGCCCTCAGATCCCCCGCTAAAAGCTTCACTTTTAGTGGGTTAAATGGAAACTACCACTAAACACTAAAAGGCTAAAAAGCTAAGGGGATGGCATCCCCCCCCAAAAAAGAGACTCTCTAAGATTGGTCTGGCTGAAGACAGGGAACCTGCAAGATGGTTCCTTCTGGTTTCCCGTTTGATTCCAGCAAGTGTAAACACAGAGGGTCGGCAGATCAGGAGATAAACGCAAACCAACCTCTTGAGAGAGTAGCATTTCTGGAAAACATCCAATGCAACGGTCTCCTTTTGCTTTCCCTTTCACCATCAGCGCGGGGTGCCCGACTCTAGGCTTCACCGCAAATACATGTTGAAACAACAATTACACCCAACTTCTCCAGAGGTGGTTTTATGATAGGTCATTGCTTCAGGCACAATTTTCCCAGGAACTCATGTTGACTGGCCATGCTGCGCAAAGAAGTGGGCATTTTAATGGCACCTGAGCTGGGAAGTGGCCTTTGACCAGCTGGGTTGCTACCCCGTTTTTGTAAGTCAACCTCAACTTGCATTGCTCAGGGGTATTCAGGGATCCTTGCAGTATACACCTGTACATTGCCTTGTAAATGGACGTGTCCCTTTATTTTGGTGGAGAAAGCATGTTTCAAATGGGCAAATGTATCTCTTAAGGAGCCCTGGAATTACTGGCAAGATTTGGAGGACTTGCTGCGCGTGCCCGGCCCAAAAGCTGCTGCAGCGATGCAGCTTTCTCTGCGGAGTTTAGTGATTTGCAGGCCTTGACTCAAAGAACTACAACAAGACACAGCTAAGGAACAGTTTTAAGATTCGGCAGCTCAAGAAGGTAAGCTGAATTCTGCTCGTTCAAGATCTCAGATTCCCTTCTGATCGGCGTGCAAACCTGGCTCTCAGGAGGAGAGACGAGTGAAACAACCGGCGATTGCAAATTGAGCGCCTTGTCAAGGGACTAAGGACCCGCCCCAACAATGATTCCCCATCATAAAATTCCCGTGGAAAGGATTCCCAGCTACAAAGGGGCCCTCCATACGTAGGGGTGGTTTTTCAGGCGGCAAAAAAGAAGCCCCCACTTAGCTCAAAGGGTAGAACCCCTAGCAACCGTCAACTTCCATTGGTTTTGGGACCTCTTTTGCCCTCAGCTCAATCCCAAACTCATCCAAATCCTGGGCCTCACCGGCAGCCGTGTGTGCACCTGCCACTCATTTTGCGCGCATGCAAATACAATCACACACACACAAACACGAACGCGACCACAAGCACGAACACAAACTGCGTGCGGCAGCACACACACACACAAACACACATGCACGCACACACATGCAAAATTAAAAACCGCTACACTTTCTAATGTTCTTCTGCACAAATCACATTAGTCCAACCCACCCTTGAAGCCGCCAATTGAGCTCCCACTCGGCACAATAAAATCCACAGAGCTGAGCTCCAGGCCAATCCACAAAGGGAATCTCGTTCTTGGAGACCAAGCTACATTAACTTAACAGAAAGAGTATCACAGCAAGTGGCCCTCAAACCCACAAGTCCACAACCGTGTTTGTCTTGGTTTGGCAAGGGCGGAGGTATTTTGCCAGCTTCTTGTGGGAGGGTGGTCTGTGGGGCCGCTGAACACGGGCTCTGCGTCTGCAAATCCCGGGCCTGCAGCACGGGCTGCTGCACAGCCAGGGGCACTGTTGGACCCTCGGAGCGCGGATGCTCAGCTTGGGGGCTGCGCAAAAAAATGAGCAAACAAGGGCCAATACCCATGATTCCACATCGCAAAACAAGAGAACCTAGATGACTCATTTACAGATACACCTGAGTACACCTGGTTTCAGGCATCTTTGTGGCAGCCATTTGATCCCCCGGACCAAATTATGCGGGTGTCGGCATCCAGCGGGGCTTCCATATGAGCATGGCTCTTGATTTGGCGGGCTCAACCATGTGCCAGCTGCCACCATCATTGTGGACGCTCAGCCCCCTTCACGAAAATTCTTCGGGTGCGCTATGGGGACTGGACAGGAGGCCGGGCTTCTCCGACCATCAGCTTTGAGATCGTGAGCGAGGAGCCAACCTTTTCTAGGGGTGGATTCCCCATTCTTTTCAACCATTCTTCTTTCCACAACCGGATCCGTTTTCCCGTTTCCGGAGGTTTTCTAGAAAGATCCGGATCCCTGGAAAGAACGGGGAAGGTGCCCCCTAGACCTTTGGCTGGAGTACGGGACTTCGTTTCTTTTCGCCGGCTTGAAGCCCGAGGCCTCCACCCTGCCTGATATCTGTGCTGGACTCGTACGCCTGTCGCCAACGAAGGGAAGGGAAAGCTGCCAGCGGGAAGAAACCCCAAGCCCGAGCCAAGGCCCTTTGAGAAAGGGCGCAAAGTTGGAAAGTTGAGGCTTCCCAGCTACAAGCAGGCATGTGAGCCGGAAATGACAAACGCAGAAGCGAAACATGTGGAGGTTCTTTTCACTTGCCCTTGTCGGAATTGGAAACAATAGGTCAACCTTTTGGGACCTTGACCTGGAAATAAAGGGTTTATCACCTTTCGGGCAGCTAAAACAGGTTGAACCAGGGAAACCAAAAGGTTAAAACGTCGATTTAACCTTTTGGCGCCTTGACTAAAAATTGACGACCAGTGCCTTGACTAAAAGTTAACGACCAGTGGACTTTGGCGCCTCAAGTTGACGAACAATGGAAAACGACAAAAACAAAAGCAGGTCACAAAAGTCCGCCGACCAAAAACAAATCACAGAAGGTCACAAGGTCAGAAAACTTCGCTCTGGACCGCTGAGTCCGGCCCCGAGTCTTTGGTTTCCCCCGTGCGCCTTGGTACATGGCCGCAGCGGCAGCCCCAGCTTCGGGGCCAAAGCTCCCGGTTTCGCGCTGAGAAACTGCTCCGAGCTTGGCTGTGGCTCCAAAAAACCCGTGAAATGGAACCCTGGTATGTGGACACATGGACCCAAAAGCGGAGCCCAGCTGTTTCAGCTGCCATGATGCTCTTGGGCCACGGGCAAAGCGAAAAGAACCCGCGAGGTCGGGCAAAAAACAGAACCAGAGCTGTAAGACAAACTGCGGCTCCAGCCACTGCCAAATATTGGATCTCATCCCTGAAAAGAGAGGACGGCTGAAAAAGTGAAGCAACTAGCATGGTGTGCTTAAACATCTGCGCAATTGGTCTGTGCACATGGCTTGGCACTGCAGCAACTTGGGCAAGCACCCCCAATTCAGCTCCGAATGCACCATCTTTTCCAGAGCCGATGTGCGCGCATCCAAAGTTCGCCTCGTCCGCCTGTCAACGGTGTGCACCAAAGCTACTTCCAAATCAAATGCAACCATTGCATGCCTGCTTCGCCTTTTTGCAGATGCTTGAAGGCTGCGCCACAAACGACCTTTACAGGCTCTTCGTTTTGCCTTTGGGGCAAATTTGGCAGGCTCCAAAGAAAGCTCAATGGAAAACATATGGCACACGGGAGTATCTCGGAAAGGAGGATGCCCCGCTTTGGATACGGCTTAAAGGCAAAGCAAAAGCAACCTGTCCTTTTCCGAGGCTCCCCTCTGTGGGGCAAACACTCGTTGCCACCTGACCTGGAGAATCAGTCAGCATCGGCAACGCATGTATGCAAACTCACGAACCAAAGGCGCGCGCACACACACACACACAGGTTCAGATTCATATCGCACACTACGTACTGTACGGACATGAGCGTGCTTTGTATACTTTTGAAACCCTCCAAAAAGAGTCGGCTGACGCTAAATTTCCTCTCGGCCGAGCGGCAATAACCTGGTCGCGCACAACTTCTCCGTCACCCGGAAGGCTCCTGGCAAGGGCTCGCGGGGACCAAATTGGGCAAACCCCGGTCTGGAATTCTGGGACCATACCTGGAGTCTCCATGACCCTTTAAAAATAGGCCCATGACCCCCATTATTTAGGGTAATGTAATGACCCCATTATTTAGGGTAATGACCCCATTTGTTGAGGGTCATGGAGATTTTAGGTACCTTGAATGGGTGGACCGGACGTTTGGGCGTCCCTTCCCCAATCGGTGTCAACAGGAACCGGGGTTCAAATCCCCGAGCCAAGTCCCCAATTGAGGGATCTTGGACTGGGTGCCAAAAGGGTGTGAAAATACAAACAACTATCCGACGCCTTTTGGTTTCCTTGGGGGGGAAGAACCACATTCCCTGCTGCTTAGAACCCAGAGTTCAGCAAACACCAGTGTCCATGCGGTGTCGTGCCTCATGTCATGGGCCTCCTCATTATGCACTTTCGAGAATTGAAGTCCCAAACTCGGCTTCGAGAGAAATTTGGAAGTTGGCACAGCTCATAATAGGTCACATCGATGAGCATGCAGCTCGAACATCAAATGGATGCAGCAGTGCATCGCAATTCTCCATCAGATCGATTTGGAGATTAGAATAAGTTGGTACCTATTTTAGTCACGGGGAACCCTCCCAACCAAAAAAGAATCGGGTGAGAAAGGGCACCTAGCTCGGGGACCTAGTCAAAAAGACTTCAGCGGCTCGCTTCGGCCCTTGCTTCGGCCGCCTCCGCCTCTTCGGCTGTTGGCTCAGCTTCTCCTGCAGTCTTGTCACTTCGGGTGGGCGCTTTTGCTACCAATCTCGTCTTGGTTGCTGCAACGATCCCCCTGCAAAAGGTTGTTCACTTTTTAGGGTTTAGTGGAAAACCCAACTTGATTTCCACCAAAAAGTGAAAGTCTAAAGATCCAACCCAATAGCAGTCAAGTCGTGTTGACTGGTTTCCTTTGGTTTTCCATTGGACACCAACCAGAAGGGCTCCTGAATTTCAGGACGCACAAACAGAGGCGCAGTTCTGGTTGGCCCTTTTCCCACCCTCTTTTTTGAGGACAATTCTAGCATGCCTCCATGAGGGGACCTGCACTTTTAGACGGGCCTAGCATTTGCCAACCTGGCGGTCTAAAACTGAGTAGCTGGCCGGAGCTTTCGTGCCGTCGCGCCTACTGCGGTGCGGAGTCACGGGAGTTTCTTGTGGGATCGGAAAATTTATGGTCTCTCTCCAACCAAAAGGAGATCCCTGGAAACATATGGCTATGGGTCAAAACCCCGTACCCCCAGCGAACATCCCAATCCAACCACCAAAATTGGTTCTACTTGGTAAAATGGGTGACAATGGGTGTTGCGCCTACCCCAAAATGGGATCCCAAAACGGCTTTGACAACCACAACCATATATTTCTTGCGCGGGGGTTCCAAAAAAGGTGCATGGCCATGAACACCAGCCTGTTTCAAGGTATGGCAATCAGAAACAGCCATTTCAGCCCTTGGGACCGAAATGAGACTGATCGTTTCTGCACTATGGGGTTTCTTGAATCCCCTCCATCCCCCAAAAACGGGGATCAAAAGGTAAACCCTGTATGCCAAAGATACGCTCTAAAGTTCCATCCCGCTGGATGTGGCCTTTCTTACAGGAAGACCGCTACGGGCGAGCTGCCGTGCCACTTGCGGGGCAGACAGGGCCTCCAAGAAGCAACCAAAGCTGAGCTTCCCGGCACGAGGACGCGCCTGGCGCGCAAAAAGTTCTCGATTCTGAAGCCAAGGGAGTCAGCCCAGGAGGTTGAGATGAGGTGCAGCTTCATTCCTCTCGAGGAAACATGACATTATTGATCCCCCTTGGTTACCTTGGGGTTTGACGATTATGGGCCATTCAGCACCCACGCAGGAAACATAGAAAACGGAATTCCACTACCCCCCACCCTCATGCCATCTTTCAGTGGCGAAGAAACAAGTTGGGTCAAACTACGTGTGTATGTGTGTGCGTGTATGTTTTGGTGTGTGTGTGTGTGTGTATGTATGTGTGTGGAAAGGGGATAGCATGATGAATGGGTTGGTGGACGCCCCTCTAGACAAATCCCGAAGGAAATTGCCTGAGAAGCGGCAAGAAGGGCATGGCGCTGATTTCCATCAGGAACGCTGACAAGGGACACAACTTCATGAAAGCATTTCCTTTGAGCATTTGGAAGGGCCAGTTGGCCAACTTTTTCACGCAGACCTCCAGCGGTGACCTTAAATCCTTTTGTTGGAATATTTTCGCTTTGAAGTCAACTACCACAAAAACGGTGCCTGTTTCCCATTGCAGGCTGGGTTAAAGTGAATTCCCTTTTGCTGGGGTGATGATTGAAGGAAGAAACACATGACACTCTTCTGTGGCACATTCTTAGAATGTGCTACGTGTCGCCAGGGGAGCATTTCTCCTTTGACTCTGAAGAAGTATGTATTCTACGTTGAAGTGACCTGGAAACGAGCCGATTGGAGTGCCGCAGCAGTTCCCCCGCCGGCGAGACACACCCAAGCAGAGGGTGTTTTTCGGAGCACCGCCTTGTCCTTGGGAGCCCAAAGCTCCTGAAAGCTCCGGGTTTGAACGTGCGGGATGGCTTTACTTCGGGCCGCTCTTCCATGGTCCGGATGAATCTTAGTGTTTCCCGAGATGGGGTAGCCCATTTATGATTTATGAGTAGAGGGAAACCCAAAGCACAGCCGCCACCTTCAGGAACCCAAGTTCTAGGATCCATGACGAAAGCTCCACAGTGATTCTCCCTCTTGGTCTCTTTGGCTGATGTAGTGCAAGGGCCGCAAGAAGTAGCAAGAGAAACGCGGAGGGCATGGGACGTACATTGGCAATTTAGATCTCCTCTTGTTTTACAGGCCTTTCTTTGGTCATTACAAAGTTGTACGATTATGGGACATTTCGACGCCAGCTTCCGACTTTGACAACCCGCTGGTTTAATTACCCAGCGATCTTTTGCCCGCTCAAACACCGGCATCAACAAGAGCCCAAGCACTTTGCTCCAATATGCCCCGCTAATTTAATATCACGCCACTCACGTAACATGGTCTCCGAAAGGTGCTGTCCAAACTAGAGGTGGCTCTACATATCCCTTTTCTCTTCCCCTCAAAACAATAATGCTGAAAGGCCTGCGTTTTTTCCCCCAACAGCTGAAAGCTTTGGGGTCTCAGCCCAGATAGGCTCCGGGGTGGTTCGGGGCGACCCTGGAGCTAAGGTTCCACCAGGGGTTCCACCAGGGGTTCCACCAGGGGTTCCACCAGGGTTCCACCAGGTTCTGCAAGGGCGGGTGGTCTGGGTTCCACGAGGGTTCCACCAGGGTTCCACCAATTTCTTCGAGGGCTGGGGTGGTCCGGTTTGAGGAAGGTTCCACGAGGGTTCCACCAGATTTCCACCAGACTTCTGCCAGGGTTTCACCAGGTTCTGCGAGGGCTGCAGGGTGGTCCAAGGTGGTTTGAGGTAAGGTTCCACGAGGGTTCCACCAGGTTTCCACCAGGGTTCCACCAGCCCGTCGTGCTCCGGACGAGGGCTCCACCAGGGTTCCACCAATTTCTTCAAGGGTGCGGCGTGGTCCGGGGAAGGTTCCACGAGGGTTCCACCAGGGTTTCACCAGGGTTAGCAGGGTCCCACTGCGGGGTGGTCCGGGGTAGTTTGAGGTAAGGTTGTATGAGGGTTTCAGGGTTCCACAAGATTCTGCGAGGGCTGTGGGCCCTGAGGTTTCACAAGGTTCCACAAAGCTCTGCAAGGATTCCACACGGGTTCCACAAGGCTCCACAATGCTCCACCAAGGGTGTGTCGCGCGCCCGTCGTCTGAAAAGCCATCGGATCAAGATCGCTTTGCTCATGGGCGGAACACTAAGCAAAACCGAAATCAATGGTTTTTAGCACACTTTCACTGCTTTGTGACTTGCTCACTTGCTCAGGCAAATGTTGGCTTTGTGGCAAATCAGATCACGTCGCTGCGGAACTCACGGTGCAGCAGAGTAAATGCTTGGCATTGCTGCTTGGTGGGCTTTGGGTTCCAAGAATTCCACGAGGCTGCGAGGGCTATGAGATCAGAAGGTTTCCACCAAATTCT